TGTGGGGCACAGGATCAAAGGCTTTATCCGACAAGATGTTTAGAAACATGATCCTCCCATTAAATGTGTGTAGTAAAACTGTTTGCAGATGGGCAGGAAGGGCAAAAAGAAATCGCGATCATATATATCTGTGCACGAGGATCTTGTGTCTTCTAGATAAGAGGCAGCATTGTGTTTTCTGTGAAAAAATATAAAAGTTAGATAAAATAATTGTGAAAAGTCAAATGGATTTGGGGGTTGTTCTGATGCGTCCTTGTATCTACCCTATATATAGAGCTGACTCCTGCCAAGAATGTAAACACTGTTGTGTTCTGGCCAGAATCTTGCTCAGCACCCAGTACTGTTGGGGTTCCCCACAAAACTGTGTAAGGCTTGTGGTGACCACATGCTCAAGGGTTGTGCTGGGCTTGGACCCATCTGTCATTGACAGAAGCTTTGCTTGTGGAATCAACAGACAGAGGAGCTGAAGTAATGAAATTTTCATTCAAAACAAATTTCCATGTCAGTTTTTCTGAGTGGTGGGACTTCTTTCTCTCCTTTAGTCAGCCTGATGAGGCAATTTCTCTGCTTTTCACACATGGTGTTACTGGTGAAGAGGTGACAGTTGAATGAAACATGTTCCCCCAACTGTATCATTCCCAGAGAAGTAAAAAGAAAACGGAGTTACTTGTTCCTGCTTTTAAGGTCTTGGGTTTCAATATTCTTCTTCCAAGGAGAGGCAGTGTAATACAAGGACCTTCTTCAGTTTCCCACTTTGTAATCACAGAAGCATCAGGTGCAAACGAAGTATTGTATTGCTGTGCTGATAGTGACAATTTCTTAATTCCTACCAGCACAAATCTTGAACTTCTGGTCATGAGATATTTGAGTTACAACTAAAACCTGCTAGCCCTACAGAGTGGGAGAGGCTTTTCTCATATGTGGTGACCTCATGTATAGAGGAATAATATAACTAGGATGAAATTCAGTAGCACAAAGTGCAAGGGCATGCTTTTAAGAACCAGTAGTTTACAGCAGAAATTTTATCAGCAGGGTCTTCACCAACTGGAAATTAATTATAAGGAAAAATATCTTGCATGCTTATTGATCACAGGTTTGTGAAGCTCTATCTTATGCATGTATGAAAAAAACAAATGTAGTCTAGGGTTTCCTACCTGAGGTATTTCTGACACTTCGTGTGGCATATTGTATACAGTTTCTAACACCCATGTTCATGGAAGGTAAATTGTGACTGGAACAGTTGAAGATGAGCTGCTAGTCTCATCATGTCATCAGTGTGGGTGCTATTTTAGAAGACACTGAAAGATGTGGGTAGTTCACAGTAATAAAATGAAAGATTCGAAAGGATGTAATTGCTGTTAATAAATACATTCAAGGTAGGAGACCCATTGGGGATAAAATTATTTAAGGTACAGGACAATCCTGAAGAAAGAAAAAGCAACTATAAACTGCTCATGAATGAAGCTAGGCTGGGTAGTACCAGAAGGTTCCTAATTATTAGAACAGTAAGTTGTGGAATAATATTCCAGGAAAGTAGTGGATTGAAAACTCTATTTTTTAAAAAATAAAGCTATCAGTTTTCATCTTAAACAGTATTAGAACATTGCCTGTGATAGGAGGGGAATTTGTCACTGACACTAAAGCCCATCTGCTTCTACATACTTATGAAAACAAAAGGAGAAATTATGCTTGGCAATTCAAGGGACAGCTTGTAGTGACTATGAGGAAGAGTGGGAGAGCAGAATGTTGGGGAAGAGGGTTTAGGCCAAGATGACAATGAACAGAATTAGGCAATACTTTCAGCAGTTTCTCACAGCAGATGCATATGCTGAAGTGACTACCATTGTAAGGGAATGAGAAGTGATGTGTCCCTCCCAGTCCTCTCCTCAGTTCATACTTGCAGCTTCCCAACATGTTCAGCCAGCTGCACAGCAGATTTTGCTGATGTTCTTTCATTCTTCAGCAGTGCCTTGCTCAATGAAATTTGGCTTGTGTCCTTGGGCCAGCAGGGGAAGAGAGCTCACTTTCACAGATTTCATTCTCTCATTTCCAAGGGGAATTGCAGGGCCTTTGTTATAACTCTGGCACCAGTACCAAGCCCTTTATTTATTTTATGGTCTGTTGTTGTGGTGCTCAAAATGCCTGTGAAGACAGAAGCCCAGGAGAGCCTTGAATTTGATTTAAAAATACACAGTTCTGCTGATGTTCATGTTACTGGCTTTTGGAGGAGAGTTGCTACAGCTGTGAAAAGGCAAGGAGAGAATTCCATTTCTAGATATTATCTTAGAACTTGGAGAGTGCTGTTGTTTGTGTCTTCTGCAATACCTACCCCATCTTGGTGAACTGAAGGTCTTGGTGAAAATATTGGTGGGGTGAAGGGGTCTTCCTTCCCTTAAGATTCAGTATTTGTGCACCTAGAAGTCCTTGCAGACTGTACTTTGGTCCATAAGCTGTGCCTGACTGCTGTAATTGTTCCCACTACTACTCTGAAGATAGCTGACTGGTTCTTTTGGTCCACAGCAAAGTTCAAGCTCGTAGGGCTTTCTCTGCCTATCTACAGCACGTTCAGTTGCGACTGATGAAAGAGGCTGGTGACCAGATTCAGAATCCTGCCTGGGCTGCCAAAGAGGATGAGCAAATGGTAAGAAGCTTTGTGTTGGCCAGACTTGAGAAGCAAAGCTGAAATCTGCCTTGAGTGTTTTGAGATCGTTTCTCATCCTTGCAAGAACTGAAGTCCAACTGAGATTATAATTGTCTTTGTCCAGCTGCCAGTGCTCTATTTTTATCATACAGACAAGGTAGCACTGTTGACTGACATTTGAGCAGTGATAGAGTAGATGGCTCTTAATGACTGGAGCATGGTTGACAGTCAGGCTGCTCAGGTCTTTTACTGGTTCTCCTTCAGTGATCTCTGAGCTTACGTGCTTTTGAATTTTTCTCTTTTAAGATTCTCTACTTGGCAATATCCAGTTTCTGCTCCATTTAAACAGAGCATGTATCTACTCAAATAGAACAGATATCTTGCTAAGCTTTTTGTACTGTTTTACTTTTTGCAGGCATCTGTGCTTAGGAATCTTATTTGAGTTCTAGAGGGAGGAAAAAAGTGAAAGCCACTAAGGACAGGAGGCTACTTTCTAGCATAGCTGTTGTTTTTTTTAAAAAACGTGATAAATTTTTTTGGTAGCATTTTAAAGCCCTATATTTTGATGTATGTACATTTTAAAGACTGCAGCAAGGCCAGGTCCCCTCACAAACCTTCGTAAAAGAGCTTTGTACAGTAGGCTCTTGAGCTTTCTTCAAATCCAAATGTATTCTTGCTGAAGAGGTGTTGCAGGGAAACAGCCAGTGGAGTTCAGAGATAGAATTGTGTGTCAAGAGTAATCGGTCAACTCACTGGAAAATGTTGCCCCAGCTCTTTCCAAGTGGAAATTAAAACTGGCTTTTTGAGAGTCATTTTGTCTGCTGTACTGTGAAAAATAATGTTTAAAATAACAGCTCAAAGCAGTCTGAAGTAATGGCAGTGAGAGGCGAGCTGTGAAATCTAATAGTTTGGCTGTGAGGCTGCTCATTTATACATTAGCAGAGCTCCTGACCAAAAGCAAATCCAGAGGAGAGACAAAGGGTTCAAAACACCCACTGGATGCTTCTTGCCTTAGGATCTGCCTTGCCATGTGTTTCTCCCACCAGAGGTCAGAGGGACATGGTGGGGTATTGGAATTACATGGCTGTAGATGTAGTTATCTGTTCCTGTGGAGAGGCTGTGGCAATGGTATACATAGATGAAAAGTGATGAAATGGGGCTACGTCACTGTAGTGGAGATATCTCACCAAGGTTCCCTTCTGTGTGGTAGCACTGAGAGGATTTTGTGTCAGTACACTTCATCACAGGCCTTCTCTAACATAATGTAGGCTGTTTTTTGGAAACCTTCTCCTGAGGTTTTGGACTTCACAGGTTGTTCTGTGCTGTTGCTGCTTTTTGCTGCTTTTTTGTTCTTGTTTTCTTTAACTGCCATGCTTTTCACACAAACACTTCTCACGTGTTCCCAATTCACACCCACCTGAGGCAAGGCACACCGTTGCTCCTTTCTCCTCACCTTGGATTTGGGCTATATTAAAAATGCATGCTGCAGAATACTTTTGCCTGCCAGTTGTAAGCTCATTTTCTTAGGACAGTGTGTTTAGTTCTTGCCAGCGGTTAACGGTTGTAGTACCTCTGTTCTCTTCTCCCCACATTTTGCAGCTGGCCCATTGTTAACTCCATCCTTCTTGCTTGCAGGAGCTTGTGGTGCGCTTCCTGAAGCGAGCTGCCAGCAATCTTCAGCAGTCCTTGAGGATGCTGCTTCCCAGCCGTTGTTTAGGACTGAGTGATCGTCGTCGTATCCTGGCTCACCAGCTGGGCGAATTCATAATCTCTTACAACAAGGTGACTAATGATTTCTTGATTCTTCTTTTGGTAGCTTTTTAGTTTCTGTTCTCTTTTTCTGAAGTATCTCCTGCTGTCTGCTGTCCTAGTCAAGATAGCATGCTGTTCTGAAGGCTCTGTTCTGCAGTTTACACGGTGTGTTTGCAAGTTGCACATCCAGTAATGGTAGTTTCTGTTCAAACTGTCAGACAGACAACAGTATTACTGCATTATACATGTAGTCTAGTAATTACGTGCATAAAAGTGAAAAGAAGTGTTCAAGTGGAATTTAACTGGCAGTTTGCTTTTTCTTTGGCTTACCTTTAATTCTAGTGCTTTGAAACCTCTTCCCCTTTATCCCCTATTTTTATGATGCTTCTTTAGAGTTTGGGGTGGTCTTTTTTTTTTTAATACAGAACAGTATGAAATATGTATTTAACTGTTTGGTATACCAAGGGTCTGCTACCTATCTGTAGTATGGCACTCTGCATGCTCAGTGTTAACGAGAAATAGGTCCTAATTTAAATAAGCTTCACCTCTTTAGGTGTAGAAACTGCTGTTCTTAGCATAGTGGCTTCATGATAATCCTTGTTTTGCAAAAACACCTTCCCCTTTCCTTTGCCCCCTTAGCCATTTCTTCAGTGTTAGAACAAGGGTAGGTTAAATTTTGCTTTTGGAGGCTGCTGTGCACACAGGCCTCCAAGCTCCTACTTGTTAGCAGAGGATGTTCACTTACATTACCTCATCAGAACTGACATTTGGTAACTTGATCTGTCAAAGCAAGGTTGGTATTGAGCCAAATCTGTTCCAGGGATTGCACTGCATGCCTATTGCTCACTGAATTACCATGCATGGAGTAACCACAAAACACTTGGGTAGCTCTGTGGTAAGTGAAGAATGCAGCTGCTTTGGATATAATTTCCAATCAAATTGTATTTAAACATCAGAATTTTTTGCTAACTTTTGACCAAATTCACAGAACCAAGCTGCGTGACTGGTAATAAATCAGTGCATAAGCCTGTTTTCTTAGCTAAAACAAGTGAGACCAGATCATTTGAGAGTTCAGGACATAGATGTTTAAGCCATTGATATACTGTTAGGCTTTGAGCTATTTTGATGTCTGATTCCAACATATATAGACTTCTTTTGCTGACTTGAGGAGTCCTACTAGCCATTATGTATCTTTTGTAATGACACAGGAGAAAAAAATACTACCTCCAGCAAACGAAGTAAAAAAGATCATGTGTTGTCCAGACTTTTATTTAAGTAGTGATGAGTAGAGGCATATCCCAGAGTAGCTTTTTTCCCCCCCTCTCCTGAATTATATTTCAAAAGATGCATCTGACCTTTTTGTCCTGGGAGTGCTGAAAGTACCTGCAGAATGCAATGAAGTGGAGGTCAAGTCTGGCCAGATAAAGCTTGCGTGCTGGTATTTGTATTTCAGAAAGAAACATTTTTTGTAATTGAAAAAATAAAACCAAAACAACTTCAGGCCTATCGATACCACCTCCAGTATTGACAAGTCCTACTAGTTTAAAATAGAAATATGATTTATATCAGAGAGCTTGCTCCCGTTCTCACACACACAGACTTACCATCTTTTGTTCTAGTATATCTTACTGTATAAACACATTTGCCACAGGCTGTACTGTTTTGCTTTCTTTGCTTTTGCTAAGGCAGTACATTTTCTGTATTTAGAGAAGCTCTCAGCAATTTGCTGCATGACAAATTAAATCAAGAGAACTCCTGCTTTACGGTAGGAAATGTTGATACATGAGCAGGCCTCCTTGACTGAATTTCTTTAGCATAATTTTGTATTTTTGTCCTCCTTCCTGAATATATCCTTTTGGGACAGATGCTCAAATAAAGCTATTTCTAGGAACTTTGTATCTGTCACAGGAACAGCAAAAGTAGAAAGGGGACCTAATGTCTGTAAATAATGATTCTTAATTTTTTTTTTTTTCCTCCTTCTTGATATTGCCTTATGTGCCAGCAAAGACTATATTTGAAAGAGTAGCACACATTTGTAAAGACTTGATCTTTTCTCAGCAAATCAATTCTAATAAGTCATGTCAGGTGGAAGAATAAGGAGTCTAGTGTACACTTAGCATGCTGTCTCTGGGGTTCTCTAGACGTTCTGTTGCACATAATGAAATACTTATAATTTGGCTCTTTGAGGTTCGTGGTTTTTTTTTGTTTTTTTTTTTTTTCTTTAGATCCCGTGGAATTGGTTTTTATATTCTCTGAGCTGTAGCTATGCCATGGAACATAAAGTAATTAAACAGATATCCTTACTGGTACTGCTTATTAACAGGAAACAGAGCGGATGGTTCAGAAGCGATCAAAAAAGAAACAGGAAGAGGAGGAGGGAGTGAATCCTGAAGGTTTTCAGAACTTTATTACCAGAGCAAGGTAGGAATGGATTTTATCCTCTTTAACAAAAGGAGCTCCCAGCCCTGAAGGTGATGGGATTGTTCTAAAGATTGTCTGATTGATCTAAAGACCTCGATATCCTTACTGACTGTAGCACCTGTTCCTGCTCTTGCTGTGGGACAGAGAACTTGTCTTTTTTCTCCCTTCCAGCAACCAAACACTTGTAACATCAGCAACTGGTGCATAGAGAAGGACATACAATAAATTCTTTGACCATTAAGTAGATTCCCAAAGGACAAAACAGTGACTGCCCTGGTCTGTGTAAATTTCTAACTGCTGCTGGTGAGCTAATGGTCTCCTTTCCTGTGATGCTGGAGCAAATACAGTAGTACTTTGGAAGGAGAATGAAAGTAGAGCTGCTGCTCAGATGGCCTTGAGCTGCTGTGGTTGAATAGTTGTGATTCTGCCTCTCAGGTTTCTGCTCTCAGAAACAAATGTCATGCTTGCTGCCTCTTTTTAGGAACTCTCCAGGTCTGGGCTTTGAGAGGAGGAAGGAAGGAAGTTGGACTCCCTTGTTTTGATCTTAGGCTCTTATTTGGCTTGCTAAGGCTGTTCAGTGCAAGCAGCTACTTTCACAATGAAAACCCAGCATTTTCTATTTGATAATGTGCTGAACTTTATCTGCCTTAAACTTACAAGAGTCTGGTATGAAAAGTATTTTGCAAATGAGTAAATACTCCTTTTGGCTTATAGCATTGTATGAAAAACAATGGTATTTTAGCTATCTGACTATGGAGAGGCCTGGAATTCAGTAAAGTGGAATTACATCCTCAAAGTCCCCGATTCCTGAGAATAAAACCAGATTTCTTCTGACTCCTTTGTTTGACCTTTTTCATGATCAATTACAAAACTGTTCGTTCTTTTTTCTCTATTTGGATAGCACTCTTAGTGACTGATTACAAGTGGGTGGTAGCTGAGGCTTCTTAACTGAGTTCAGGAGGCTTCCCAGTATCTCTTGGTGCTACATTGTTATGAAAGCAATTAATTTTACATTTTTCTAATATATTTGATGTAGTCTTTGTCACAATATATTTACAGACTCTAGGGAAAAACTCACTGCTTTTCAAGTAGAGTTCTATGAAACGATGATACTCAAGATGACTGACTACTCTGTGTTGTAGTATCTACTCCTGTCACTAGCAATGCAGATTACATGGGCCCATGGCACATCCTTGGTTCTCTGACGTCTCTGGCCACCAAAATGACTGTTGCCTTCTAGGGCAGGTTATTTTGCTGCTTGTCAGAAATGCTAGGAGATGCCTATTCTATTCTGCATACTCTTCTTCCATGTTAGTGGCTACCATGCCATCATGGCCTGATGCAGAGTCTGGGCTGGGGTTGGAGATTTTGCCCAGATCATCTGCCTGAGTGGTAAGGAACAGCAAAAGCCAGTTTGCCAGCGATCAGACAATTTCTAGCGGTGCTCTTTCTGCTTCTTATGAAGCATCACCTATATTTGAAAAATCTTGTATCTAATGCTACTTTGCACTGTGCTTGAAGCTTAAATCAGTGAGCTAGTAATTTGGAGCCAAGCAAAGGGGGATAGACTTCTGCTTTGAGTGTTTGTTCTACAGTACAGTGAATGCAACACTGGAGAAAAAATGGTAATAATTGGGGTTGTCTTGTGGGCTCTAACTTGGCTGTCACATGGATGGCATTGTGTTTGGTTATACACATGCTACTACCATTGCTTCTAAATATCCTCAGAGCAATGTAAAAGTATATGCTTATGCTGCTAAATTAACTTAAGCCCAAATCACCTTTCTACTGCCAACTTTTCCTTCTTACATTTCCTCTTCACCTCTGTTCTCATTGTTCTGGGAGGAAAGGTAAACTTCGCAGCATGCTCTGAAGGTCCAAACTCCAGTGGGATCACCTTTAGATGTTGCTTTTGCCAAAGCTCAGGCTACCTAAGATTAATACAAGTGTGATATGTAGGAGACATTTTTAAGGTTTATAACTGTGCAAAGTATTATTCCTGTGTTACTTTTTTTTTTTGTGGCGTCACTGGTGTTACTTGCTTTTGGTGTTTGCTCTGCCATATACACACTCACTAACGCTGAGGAAACACTACAAAGCAAAAGGAAAGCATGTCAGATATCAAAAAAGTTATAATTACAGCTTGCACAAGCTCTAATATGAATGGCCGAGTAACTGATACTTGTTTGGGACCCATAGATGCTTAGGGCATCTGGGGGAGTTAAACTTTCTTCTTGTAAAGCAAACAAGAAACGTATGCAAGTTTTGTGAGATTCATGGAAATACTGACTGTTCTGTTTGGCCTGCAGTTCTGGCTAATTAACGAGCTCTTGCCTCCTCTTTCCTCTCCTCCCTCAGCTGCTGAATTGAAACTGCTAACAATGACAATGAAACAGAGGCTGAACTGAGTTGTCTCATGAACAAGATAGCTGCTTGTTCTAGATATTTCTAGAGATTGTTCTAGATAGTTCTAGAGAGCACCTGAGGAAGATTCAGAAATTTAGCTGTGAACTGAATTTTTCCTGTTGAGCTGATATCACCAAAAATGTTTGGAGTTTTCACTTGCTCTTTACTTATCCTGGGAAAGCTCCTGAATGCCTTGAATTTTCTACTGCGTAACAAAATGGCATGTCAGTGGGAATCTTGGTTTAAACCAAGGCATGTTCCTTTCCTTTCCTTCTGCTTGTACCCTGCAGAACTGAGCAAGTCATTAGGCTGTCTGGCCCTACCCTTTTTCCCCCCATTCCACTCTTCAGTCTCCTTTACGTTTCTCATTGTTGACTGTTATGTGAGTGCAGAAAATCTTAGAATCCTCCCTTATATCTATTCTTCTCTCTTTATTGTAGTGAAAGTGACTTGGAAGAAGTGCTGACATTTTACACGCACAAAAACAAATCAGCAAGTGTCTTCTTAGGAACAAACTCCACAAGCACAAAACCCAGCAGCACCAGTAACCAGTCAGAGAAACAGTCTCAAGGGGGTGAGTTTTGCAGGCCATTCTGAGATGATGTTGCCCAGCCAAATCCAGTTTAACTTCAGTCTGTGGAAAGAGAACAACCCCTCTGAATGTTATTCAGGTTTCTTGAGGTTGCATATCTTTTTTTTTTTTTTTTTTTAACTGCCTCATATATAGAAGACTAAAGTAACTGCACTCCTACCTTCCTTGTCTGAAGTGAAATGGGATGAATCTGGACTAGCGTTTATAAGAAACTAGATATGGTGTTTCATGACTGAAATGAGAATGTGCGTTGAGACTTCAAATTAACAGAGAATCTTGAAATCAGACTAAGTAGTAAGAGAAATAAAGGCCATTGTGCAGCTAACAATAAGCATACCCATTGGAGGGCAGTGCCTGTATAGTTGAGCTTAGTTAGGTGTCCATGGAAGGAAGTGCAGTGTCAGCCATACATGCCAGTACTACATGCTACTGTACCATGACAGTGCAATTATGATCAATAGTCGTCTACAGTAAATATTAGCAAGGAAGTCCATTGTAACAAGGTTTAAATTCTGCAGTCCTGTTCTAATGATATCACAGTTTGTATCATTCTGCTTCCTGACTCATTGATTTTGTTGTAGAGCGTCCTGAGGTGGCGAAAAAGATAAAAGGTGATCAGCCCAAAAATTCAGTTGCAGATCTGCCTGCTGAAGGGGCATTAAAAGGCTATAAACCCAAAGAAGTTAAATCAACCTGTAAGTGAACTTGCTTAAATTGTCATCAAGGAAAAAAAAAAAAGTGTATACTTTTTAAAATATTGTTTTAAACAAAAGTTGGAACATTTGGGTTAAAATTGAGGAGCTCAAATGCCTAATTTTGGGGAAGATTCTGCAGATTTTTTTTTTTTAAACCCAAGAAAAAATACAGTAAAGTGAGATGTAAGAAAGAGTTAGCTGTTCTTCTGTGGGGTAAGATCTAGATATGACATGCTCTGAAAGCGTGTATTCATCATGTATAGCCTCTTCTTGTCTTTGCTGGTAGATGAGGTCATTTTAGTTTCAGTGTGTCTGAAGAGATGTAGTTGGTGTGCTGTTATCTGAAGGACCTGAAAAGCAGCTTTTTCTCATGTAGTGTGCTCATTATCTTTGTATAGTTCCAGAAGGATCTACCTTCTTAAACGCCGAAGTGAAATTACCTCGATGCTGCCCTCCTAGTACTTCTTCCTCTGTTTCTGGTGCCACATTCCAGAGAAGTACTGGTTCCTGGATACCAACTCAGCCTTCAGCCTCTGAAAACTCACAGGTGCCTGGTCACCAGTCGTTGCTGGCTCCTCCAGTTGGTCCCAGGCTGATTCAGTCCCCATCCCTGCTACCCTCCTCACAGAGCATAGCTCCTGACAGCTCTTCTGTTTTCACAAACCCAGTGTCCAGCGAGGCTTCTAGCCTTGTGGGGCTACGTCGGTGTCGTTCTGGTAGCTACACTATCGGCCCACTCTCATCTCTTCAGAGAGCTGCTCAGATCTACAGTCAAAGATTGTCCCGACCATCCTCTGCAAAAGTAGGTGAGTGTTCTAGGATGCATAAAAAACCTGCTAGTTCAATATAGAGATTGTGTAGTCTCTCTTCTGGAGTAGATAGACATTTTACATTCCCAGAATTATGGGTCTTGTTGAATAGTGCTAAATTTCTGAGGAAATGGCAAAGTGCAGGAAGCAGCCTTTGTTTGCTAAGCATGCCCTGTTAATGAGCAGATGAACAGGGAATCATAAAATCATTTTGGTTGGAAAAGACCTGTAAGATCACTAAGTGCAACCATTAACCCAGCACTGCCAAGTTCATGACTAAACCATGTTCTTAAGCATGATATCTACATGTCTTTTTAAATACTTCCAGAGGTAATGACTCTCCACTGCCCTGGGCAGCCTGTTCCAGTGCTTGACAGCCCTTTCAGTGAAGACATTTTTCTAACCTAAGAAATTTCTTAGACATTTATCTAACCTAAACCTCTCCTGATGTGACTTGAAGCTGTTTCCTCTTGTACTATCACTTGTTACCTGTGAGACTGACACGCACCTTGCTACAACCTCCTTTCAGGTAGTTGTAGAGACCAATAAGGTCTCTCATCGGCCTTTAAATTTTACTTTGGCCTTTGAACTTGTTTAAAAAGAGACAGAAAATGAAGTATTGGGGTTTTTTGCTTGATTGTACTCCTGTTCTCTCACTTATCGTCAGTGTTTTTTAATGTAGTTTTGTTTAGCAGAAGTCCTGTCTTAATATGTGTGCTGTTAGTTCTGTGTTCCTCTATCACACAGATAAATCCTTTAACCAAACCTCATAATAGTTGATTACTCTAAGGCGTGTCAAGACTTCCAAAAAAAAGAAAGATTTGAATGAGTCATTACTGTATTTCATTCTCTAGGACCTTTCAAAACTGCTATATCCAAAAGTATCTTAAAAACAGGATCTAGAGATGCCTCATTTACCATGCTAGGGTAGAACATAATTGAGCAATGAAATTTCACAGTGTAAGGAATCTGAAGGTAGAAGAAACTGTAGGAATTTATGGGTGCGGACTGTAATATATTAGGAAAGTTTGGGGAACCACAGATGTATTATGAGGACCACAGCTGTTAACCTATTTAATGTTTTCAAATGATGGTTTGCTTTAGGTTGTATGTCACGATCAGCATATGCTCACTAGGCTTGCTGTGTATATACATATAGACAACCTTTCTAGCACTGAAATACATCCAGCTTTCCAGCCAAGTAGCTTATTTAAAGAGATCCATTTGTTATTAAGGAAAAACCGTAGATTTACCTTAGGAGCAAATATTCTCTGGAACTGGGTGCCATTAGATACATTATGATAAAGAGAATATGAGTTTGAAGTTGACAAAAGCTTGTATAGGTAACACCCACACAGAACAGAAGGCTTTATTCTCCCTAAAATCTGGAGAAAGTGTCATACCTGGGTTTGTATCTCTGTGATCAGCAGGCTGAGTGTCAGCAGCTGAGCGATTCTCACGTGTCCAAATGTTTGTTTGGTAGGTTTGTGCCATCGCAATCCAAGCAGGCAGCATGTGGGCTCAGACAAGATGCACAAAGATGAGGAAGATCATTCTTCTTGGAGCAAGTGTTATAGCCCCAGTGTGGCAGCACCAGGCCTGCAGCAGCTGGCAGGAAAGCAAGCAGCCTGCCAGTATTCCCTACCAAGCCACATCAGTCTCCTGACACAGCAGGTATGTAAGAAATAAAGCTAGGGTCCCTGAGACACCAGAAGTCTCTCGCAAGCTTGTCTGTCAGTACTGGGCTGGGTTGGGATGTGCTGAAAGGAGTAAATCTCATGATAGTCTACTTTTGTTGTACTGTTTCGAAGTATTTACAGGGACAAGAACATTGATATTCTGTGAGATAAGAACATCTCTGAAGTCCTTTTATAGAAAAAGCAAGATTAGGCAGAGAATTAGAAAATGTCATAAAAACCCAAATCTACACTTAGTTTTATTAACTAATAAACCCAATGTTGTGGTTTGAGGCTTGGAATGGGGTCGTGACCTTCCAGCAACTGGGAGGACCCCAGGTGGGTGTGAAACCATTGTATTCCCTCCCCTTCCCACACACACTCTGATAAGAGGCAGGGAGTGGTTTCTTATTTCACTCTTGCCTTGGAGCTCGGAGAGCTCCACTCCGTGGGACCCTGGAACCATTTCTGAGGGTTTTGTATAATTTATTTTTTGTATTATTCACCTAATCTTTGTATATACTAGTTTCCTTACCTCCCTTTCTCATTTTCTGTTCCTTGTTGAACAATATACTTCATTTTTTTTTTTTCAAAAGTCTCTCTCTCTCTCGCGGAGGGGGGAGAGGCGAGTACATAGTTCTGTTCCGTGTGGGTCCTGCCCTGAACCCCTTTTTACACGGAACCAGGACACCCAAATCTTCTCAGATTTATGTTTCCTATTTGCAGATAGGCCTTGAACTTCAAAGGATAAGTCACTAAAACAGAGCACTTTCTGGTTTATGGACTCAGAAAATGTGAGTGCTGTATATACTAGTGGTGCTGATTTTCCATCAGGCCAGACTCTGCTTAGACACCTTGATCTTGCAAAGCCTGAAGTGGCATGGGGAAAATCAGGAGAAGCTAGTTTGCTTGTCCAGTAATATTCAGAGTTGTCAGTTTGGTCTTTTAATGTAATCAGAATTCAACCTTTTAAAGCTAACTTTTGTCAATAAAACTGTTAAAAAAAAAAAAAAATTTGGTAGTGAAACATTTTCATTCAGGAAATACTGATTTGTTGAAAGATAAATATATGGTGGAAACTTCCTCTTTTGATAAAAATTAGTGTCTAAACAAATATTCGGGAAAAAAATTGAAATGCATCTATTATGCTTCAGTCTTTTCAGAAAAGAACTTTTAAAAATGAATTGATAGTTTCTCCTTAAAACTACTCATTTCCTACCTGACTCCAACTGCTGTGATTTTTTTAGGTCCATCTAAAGAACTCAAGTTGTCCTCTTGCTGTCATTTATATAGTTATTAGTTTATTTTTAGACTCATGTATTCTGACAATACCTGGTTACTGCTAGTTAAATTGTGCAGTATAGAAGGGGAAATCCAGAGAGGAATTCACAAAGCTGTATGTTAGAAGGGCTGAGTAGCTTCCTGAGCACAGCTGCATTGGGCAGCAAAGGAGCAGGGTCCAGTAGTTGTAGATGGTGGAGCCTGTAACCTGTTCAGCCACCAGTCAATTAGTGTAGGTATACTGAAGCTGAGAAGTGGCTTATGGCAGTGGTAGCTCTGGAAATGTGCTGGTTATAGTAAATGTGTCTGCATTGCTATTTCCTTCTGGGTTCTTCCAAGATATTTTCCCACAGAAGAGGCTGGAAATGTATAGGAGGAGAATGAAGGTGCTAATTTCCTTTTGTGACAAGCAAGCAATAAAGACCTCAGCTCCTAGAAGACAAGGTAGATTTTCTGAGTGACCATGATATATTTTTGTATTCAACTACACAGTGCTTGTCCAGGCTTCGCTTCCATAGTGAGGTACATGAAGCATTTCTTTTGCATGAGTTTTCACTATAGTATATACACAAGATATGTTTTCTTTCCTGGTGATGAAGTTAAACTCCTTGAAGAAAAGATAGGCAAAAGATGTTTTGTGAGACTTCTATGGCTAGATTGCATTTATTTAGGAGTTCAGAAATACAACAGTGAAGTGACAAAGTTTGTACTAAAAGGTGTGGTCAGCAGTAAAGCTGGTGTAGAGGACAGCAAGGCAACAAATGTGCTTATCTGTGAAAGGAAGTCTAGAGTTTCCAGTAAGTTAAAGCAGGGAGTCTTGCTCCACCAGCAGATATATATTAAATTGAAATAAAATGGAGTTTTAATTCACCCAGGTAAACATAATTTGGACCTCCAAAAAAAACCACAAACACCAAACCCATGTCTTGATCTATTAGAATTCTTTGAGCTGAGAAAAACAGCATCTAGTGGAACTGGTTTTTGTTGGTCAAACTTACAGAAAAGTTTTTGACAAGCTTTCTGTGGGGACTGTTAAGCAAGCCAGGTATCTGTAGGATGAGAGGCAAAGTTTTGTCATAGATTGAAAACGAAAAGCAAACAAAAGAATAACTATCCAGTTTGCTATACAGCAAGCGGGTACCTAAAGACACAGAATACAGAATGCACATGGAGTGTAAAATTAAAGATTCGAAAGGAGGAGGTTGATAATGGCTGGCATATTATAATCATCCTTTAGGTTATAAAAGCAAGTTGTTGCAAGGTAATAGAGGGCGTAGATTTGCAGTAGATTAACCAGTCCAGTGTTCATCCATGTGAACATGTGCTTGTGCAGCTTGTTTACTACGCAAGGTAACTTCTTGTTAACCTTCAGTGTAATGTGGGCTATCAGTGTCCAGATGCTCAGTTACTGTGAAGTTATGTGTGTACTGGAAACTTAAACCTGAGTGTGCCTCCTGGTAATTTGTCAGTCCTTCTGTGTTCTGTTGTTGATTGTTCTGAGAAAAGCTAAGAGAAATTTAACAACTGCATTAACTGGGTAAGGCAATGGCAGTTGAAGTTCAGCATTTGTTTGTCATTTGTAATTTTAACTGCTTAAAGTAATAAGCTTTAAATTAATCATTTTGGGAAGAAAAATCAAGTCTTGTTCTGGAAGAGTCAGTGGAGATACCTATTTTAAGTCAAGCAGTAAAGGCAACAAGCAAAAATTATTAGCATGTTTAGAGAACAGGCTAGGAAATTGTATGTAATTATGTAAGCATCAGTTACATGCCCTCCCTAGAAAAAAAATGATTTTCAGTTCTGGTTGCCAGTCCTCAAATGAATTCAGGGAAAATAACTGGCATTCACAGATGAGTAACTAGGACAATTAATTGCAAAATGCATTTTTAATGGGTAAGGGAAAGGTTCTTTGTTTAGGGAGCAGGTTAGGTATGAAGGAATTATACAGAGCAGTGGATAACAGGGTAAATAAAGCTTATTTTATTCATGTTTCTCATAATAAAAGGGGATATTCGGTTTAGTAGGAAGACATCAGAGTAAAAACTAACAATAAAAGTGTTTAGTTATTGTCACAGAATATACTTACCTTCTGAAACTTCCTGCAACAAGATACCATAGAGGCAGAAAGCTTAGCAGACCATAGTCACTTCAGATAGAATAATAAGCATTCAACAAAGGATATATCTCTAGGTTTCAATATACAGAAATAACTAATTAATTTTCCTTATCAATAAGAAGTTTGTTAGATACATGAAAACTAACATTTCTTCTATCTTCTGAAATATGTCGGGCAGGACAGCAAGTTTGCTGGGCCACTGCTCTGAACTGACCTTTTGTCTTTAACACGGAGGAATAGGGATGCCGCTGCTTCCATATTTATGACTTTCTTTGCTACAGTGCTTTATGGTACTCAAGATATATATTTCCTTTATAGTAAGTAGGTTAATGAGACACTTGTGAGGAAATCAGTACCTGCAATTAGTGGTTTCCCTAGTAATGGCATGCAAATGATTATTTTTATAGAGTGATGATGTTTTTGTCAATGTGTAGTGGTTCACCTGCAGTGTTGTCAATGTGTTAATGCAATTTTTCAGTTGTCCTGTTCAGTTTGCCTAGCATGAGCCTAAGACAGTAGCAGTGCTATTGGATAATCAGGGCAGATACATTGGTGAGTTGGGGTATGAATCCCTGAAGATACAGTTCAGTAAGCCTCTTTCATGCATAGGGACTTAATTGTCTTTCTTGCCTTGGTTTGTGATATAGGGACCTTTCTGGCTGCTATGTTATTTCTGGACAGCTGAACTAAGAGAGAGAGGTTTTTTTTTTTTTTTTTTTTTTATCTATCTGTACCTTCTGTTAGCCGTTGGCCTTCCCTGATGGATGAGGACTATGACCCCAGTAATCCAGACTCCTTTTCCCTCTGCTGTGTTCCTTGCTAGGCTTTAATCCTGAAGTCTTTATTTCATGTGTGTTTACCATAAAGTATTTTCACGTGCTTGTATTGCAGGACTTTCTACAGGGAGGACATTAAAACGCACAGCATGTGTGTAGATCCAGAGCCAGGTGGCTGGATCCTGGATATGTTTTTTCTTTGTGAATAGCATACAACTTCTCTCTGAAATATGCTGTGAGATAAAAAGGTTTTCTTCTGCAGTGCTGGATCTGTGTGAGGTCCCTATCATTGGCTGGTGTGGGGGGCTGCGGTTGGTATCTACCAGGCTGTAGTGCTTTGTAGTTATTAATGCTAGTGAACTGAAGAATGTGTTGAATTGGCCAGCTTCACCAGGAGAAGGGGGAGGAAGAGGAGGAGGAGGGGAAGCCTGGTGGGAGCTCTGCCCCTCTCTGTGAGGGAGAGTGTGAGATTTCAGGACTCAGCTATCATTAGGAATAGCTCCAATTATTCTAGCCAGGGATAATCACAGGAATAACATCAGACCACCCAGGCAAGGGCTATACCGAGCTGCCTCCACCTCTGCTATGCAGCCAATCAGTGCCCAAGATCTAGCAAGTAGAGTGCCTGCAAACATGCTGACAAGCCCATAGGAGGATGAGGCACTTTTCTCATTCTACATTTTTCATTTGGACGGAAGGTGGGAATTAGCAAGAGGCAAACTTTGCTCGCTAAACCTTAGGACAGGGGAGAGGGAGTGAGGAAGAATTGGAATGGGTACTTTACAGTGACCATATGCCACAGGAATCCCATAATAGAGAGCTTCA